TTCTGGTCAAGAAAGCCTTCAAGCTCACCTTAGACCAAGACCTAACTGTCCAGGTGCCACATGCTGTATGGGATGAACTGTTCTTGAAAATGGACCCCCTGACAAATGCTGACTGTACCTTGTTTACAGATGAAAGTAGCTCTGTTAGGGTTGAAGTCCTACGGGCCAGATATGCTGTGGTCACCTTGAACAAAGCCATTCTGGCCAAAACTCTCCTGCGGGGGTGATCTGCACAGCACAGCGCTTCCTGCTGCTGCTTGGAAACCTGCCACCAACAACACAAAATATTCCAGTCCAGAGGCCTAAGTCCCCTCCCTGGATCCAATTGACTGGAACATCAACCCCAGCCGGAAAAACTTCACCCGGTTTTCCCAGCAGATCAGAGCCAGACCTGCCCCCACCGTCTGTTCTACGAGCTCAAGCCACAGCGCTGGCACCTGTGCCCCTGCAGCCAGCTCAGGCTTCAGCGTCTGTGTCACTGGCCCCGACCTCTCATCCCTACCTGTGCTAAAAAGACAACAAAATTTGAAGGGGCGTGATGTAAAAACTCATCCCTAGATATGGCCTACCTTTGACCATTGGCAGTGACAGCAGGCCTATATTTGTCACGGAGGGAACTAAAACTACAGACAGCATACAGGCCACAAAGCTCTAAGAAAGTTAAAAAAAAAACAACAAACAAAAAACAGCTTGTAACTCACGCACACATAACCCAAGTACATATTAACTATCTCTATAGGTTTCAGAAAGTCGGCCTTACATCTGCTAAAATGACAAAGGAAACAGCTCTGGGACGCCCAGCCATAGGCAAGGGACAGTTCTTGGTGCAGGGTTCTCCAACCTTGTTTGGATATGGAAGTCTCTGGAGGTGGTTTAAAATATACCCATACACTCTGGGAGGCTGAGGCAGGAGGATCACAAGTTTGAGGACAGCTTGTACAGTTTAGGGGAACCCTACTTCAGAATAAAAACATAAAAGGGACTGGGGATGTAAATTAGTGGTAGCATGGGTTGGATACCAAGTACAGCAAAAAAGAAGGAAAGGAAGAAAGGAAGAAAGGCTGGTTCCACTTTTATTAGCCTGGGGTGGGTCAGGGCTGGGTTTTTCCCTTTTCTTTCAGCTAAGCAGGGAGTCTTGATGGATAGCTTGGGTTAAGCACCTCTGCTCTGCAATTAATAACACTTGTGTTACTGTATCCACTTATGTGATGGAGGACTGGTACCCTCGATACAATGTTTCCTCTTGTATCCATGTAAGAAGAGGGAGTAGAGTCAAAGAAAATGATAATTTGGGGATTTGGCAGAACGCACAAATCCTTGTGTTCAATCTATTTTGTATCTGTTTTGCTTGTTATCCCAATGTTACAAGCCATGGAGTTGAGACGTAGAGGGGGCATAACTGACCCAAGCTTTCACAGCTCCAAAGCAATATTTTGGATGTTTATGGCTTGGCTTCTGATCCAGTACAGATCCGCTGTTACACCAAGTCTCTACCGCCCTCTGCTGGGACAATTTGTTTGCACCCAAGAAAGGGTCTCTCT